GTTATTATGATTGACATCATAGATACGTATTATATTTTATGCATCCGAAATTATGTGTAACCCGGCAAATTTTGTCCGGCTACCATTTTTTTATGGTGATGCTAGGGTCGTCCATGTATCACATGCGCTGCATCTGCATGTATTGTAAACATTCTTCCGAACTCCGAAGGCGTTATATAATGGTTACACTGCGTAATAGAGAAAATTTTTTTTTTTAGCTCCTAAAATGATAGCTTTGCCAAACGAATGTCTTTTCGAAATATTTATTCACCTTAAGGATCACGGTAGAAGCTTGTTCTCATGCCTTCTTGTGAACCGTCAATGGTGTAGAAATATTGTACCGATATTATGGAGCGAGTTAGACATTTCTAAAAATAGCAAACTTGTAAGAACGTGTCTTTTGGCATTAAACGCTGAAGAACAAACGAATTTATTACCATTTGAAATAATACTTCCAAATGAACAAAAATTATTATTTGAATACATATCTTATACTAGAATTATTAAAATTAATTCAAACGATGGAATCACAAGTTGGCTTAACGATGAAGGGCACGGATCTCGTCATTTAACTTACAATTCTTGGTCAAACGTTGTTCAAACAATTAAATATTCCTTAACTCTAATGTTCCTGAGAACAAGTGAGAAACTTAAAGGTTTAAGCATTTACGGTGAAATAATATATACATTAGAAAAGATCCTTGATAAAAGCATAACTTTATTATCCTTGAAAATTTCGAATCATCAATTTGGTTCTGAAGGATGGAAATCATTAATAAATTCGCTTTGCAAAAATACTACTCTAACTTATCTGGATCTTCGGGATAATCAACTTAGTTTTGAAGAAGGAAATGCACTAGTAGAGGCTCTTTATAAAAACAATACTTTAACCACTTTAAAGCTTGGTCATAATCAACTTGGCACCGAAGGAGGGAAAGCGTTGGCAACGGCTCTTTGTAAAAACAGTACTCTGATCTCTTTAAATCTTAATAAAAATCAACTTGGTTCTGTAGTGGGAAAATCATTAGCAGCAGCGCTTTGTATAAATACTACTTTAACGCATCTGAGTCTTTCGAATAATCAACTTGGCCATGAAGGGGGTAAATTACTCGCTGAGTCTCTTTATGAAAACTCTAATCTAACTTATTTGAGCCTTAAGAATAATCAACTTGGTAATGAAGTAGGAAAGGCTTTCGCAAATGCACTTTGTAAAAACAATACTCTGACTTCTTTGAATCTTAGTAAAAATCAATTTTATTCTGAAGTAGGAAAAGCACTGGCAGCTGTTCTTTATACGAATACTACGTTGACTCATTTAAGTCTTTCGAACAATCAACTTGGTCCCGAAGGAGGGAAAGCACTTGCAGAGGCCCTTTGTAAAAACGCTACAATAACTTATTTGAGTCTAAGGAATAATCAACTTGACACTGAAGTAGGGAAAGCATTCGCAGAAACTCTTTATAAAAACACTACATTAAATTATCTGAGTCTTAGGAATAATCAACTTGACACAGAAGTTGGAAAAGCTTTCGCAAAAGCTCTTTATAAAAACACTACTTTAACTTCTTTAAATCTTAGTAAAAACAAATTTGATTCTGAAGTAGAAGAAGCGTTCGCTGAAGTTCTTGATAAGAATACTACCATAACTTCTTTAAAACTTTCTGATGACAAAAATGACAATACTATCTTATACGATTAGCGATTTACTTATAAAGAATAATAAAAAAATATTGTAAGTTATCGTATTTTTGCAAATGAATAAAAAATGAATAGGAATGGCTACTATGTATTATATTGGTTAACTCTGGAGTTAATGCTGATTAGTACTTGTATTCGAACAAAAAGTTTTACGAATAAAGTCGATATTCAAAAAGTTTGACTATTTTATATAATAATTGATGTGAATCAGATATTCAGAAATGGTTAAGTAATTATTATTAGTGTTTAACGTTTTTAAATATTTTTAAAATCAATCAATCAACAAAATTAGCTAACATTAATAACAAAATTAGTTTTGTAGTTATAGTAATGAATATTCTGTATATAATTTTTAAAGCTTTATGTAGAGATTTATAATTTGATGTATGGTGCATTACAATGCGCTTTTTCTTTTTTTTTTATTAGTATGATATTTGACATAGGATAAATGCTTTGAGGTTTGGAGTCAAGGTCAATGTTATGGTAGGGGCAGGTTATATTCTAAAATTTCGAAACATTTTTTGCTAGTGACAGAATTTTTAATTATACATTGCACCTGATATTTGCGTACGTTGCGCCTGATATTCGCGTCAGTGTATCATTTTTTTACAGTTTCAGGTTTTAAATTCTACAATTTATAATAATTTACCGATGTCACCAATCTTATCAATTTCATCAAAATCACCAATTTTGCATCATGTTTCACCGAGCTTTAACTGGTGAAACTAATTAGTTTCACCTGCAACCTGTAAAGAATAACCTGTAGGTGCACTTGTTATTTTCTAATGTCCCATTTATCTTTCTCTGTTTTAGGCAGGACTGAATGACCTAATTGTACCATGTTTCATCGGTTTCACCAGTTTTAACTGGTGAAACTAATTAGTTTCACCTGCAACCTTAGTAAAGAATAACACTGTACAAAATGTAGGTGCACTTGTTATTTCTAATGTCCTATTTATCTTTATCTGTTTTAGGCAGGACTGAATGATAAAAGTATAATAGACATGCCGGACCAGCTTAAAGCTGCTATCGCTCACGGAAATATTATATCGTTCGAGTATGGATCATTTAAGAACTTGAAAGTTATTGGCACAGGAGCGGATAGTACCGTATTTAGTGCTTATTCGGAAGAATTTGGTCAAATGGTAGCTTTAAAGAAATTGGACATAGACGATTATGGATCAGATTTTTCTTTTAGAGAAGTATGAATTAATTCTATTATATCTTTTGTTTTTATTTCCTTAAAAATCTTAAATGAACTAAGCTTATTTTTTTATACTCTATAAGATTAAAAACCATACTAGAGTTAATCATCATATTAACATAATACGATTCTTTGGCATTACTCAAGGTATGTAGCTTTATATAATATGATGCTGTAGGTATGATTTGTATCTAATTGTGATGACATTTGAATTTAATGAAAATTAGTTCCGAAAACCGAGATGTACTTTAAGATTTTTCAATTCGCAAATAATGGAAATCTTCGAAGCTACTTACGTAATAATTTTTTAGAATTAGATTGGCCAACTAAAATTAGAATGGCAAAGGAAATTTCTAACGGGATTAATTGTTTGCATAATGCAAACATTGTTCATCGTAATCTTGTAAGAGGCTTCTGTCCAGTGATAGGCAATTTATGCGGGAGATACAGAGATGCTAAATTTCCTATGGTAGTCTTTTAAAAGTCTGAATCCGTTCAATGGCACCAGAAACTGGGCCAATGACATTTAATTAAGACAAAATAATAGTAATGAAATTATCAAACTTCCCGCTGTGCCCATCACTATTCTTGTCATTTATCGCATTACTGTATATTTTGAATAAAGTACTGAACGTAATAATCTAATTATATTGTTAGCATGATAAGAATATATTAGTGCATAATGGTAGATTAATTATCACAGATTTGGCTTATCAAAATTGTTAGATAGTAACTCAAGATCAATTGATGTTGGAAGGTATACCTACAGAGATCCACAATGTCTAAATTTAAGCAAGAAAAACCTTCAGATATCTATAGCCTTGGTCTGCTTTTCTGGGAGTTATCAAGTGGTATACCTCCATTTAACGATATGTCTACTACTAAAATGGTACTGCACGTAACTTCCGGTAAAAGGGAAAGATCAATTAATGAAACTCCAATCGACTTTATAAATCTTTATCGCGATGCTTGGAATGACGATCCAAATTTACGTCCTAACATAGCTGAAATCCGTCACAAACTGAATTGTATTCAAATGGAGTCGGTTTATCTAGATTTGGCACAAATTGAGTTTAGTGATGTAAACAATAATGGTACCTCCATTCAACATTTAAATTCAATAGGTGTGCTATATTTTATTTGAATTTTAAAAAATAACATTATTTATTAATACGTAACACCTTATTTACTTTATTTATAGAACATCGATTTAACCAACTGCAAGTCATTGATCAAAAGTATTTAAATCAGAATAAGAGTATTATATTAATCACATAAGCTTTTGTATTTTATATGTCTCGTAAAATCTAATCAATTAAATAATTTTATATCAAATGCGGAATAGAATAACAATTCCTTCGATACAACCACCAATGACAATTGACAACAAAAATTGGTTTCAAATTGCAATTAATAACTATAATTTGAAAGAATTATCTTGCAATGATTTTGGAAAATTGAGATATGTAGGTCGTGGTGCATTTGGAAATGTTTATTGGACTACATGTAACTCAATACAGGAAGAAAAAGTTGCCGTAAAGGAAATATATGTTACAGAAGAAAATGGAGAAAACAGAATTAGAATGTTTCTTAATGAGGTTTGTATGGTTACCATTTAGTGCAAAGTAATCATGGTATATCTCTAAGTCGCCAAAAATTTCCGAATAATACATTGATATAATTTTCAAAACTCTATAATGTATTAAACAGCTAAAATTACATAGTCAAATTTTGCACCCACAAATTATCCAACTTTATGGAATAAGCAGTGGTTAGTTGCTTTATTTCAAATTTCATACAAATAATACTTTATTAATATTTAATTATAAATTAATAAAGATCATAATAGTGAAGCATATTACCTTTTGATGGAATATGCAAAAGATGGAACTTTACGACAATATTTGAAAAGCGTTATACTTTCTTGGAAAAAAAAGGTTAAATTAGCAATGCAAATAACCGAAGGAATTTTTTATTTACATAGTAAGATGATTACGCATCGCGATTTGGTATGCATGATTTCGAAATAATTTATTTGAAGTTATTTTAAGCTAATAAATGATATAAAAATTTTTTAGCACTACTGTATTTATTCTATGCCCCATTTTATGGGAATTTTATATGTTATAAATCGCGTATTTTATGTATTTTATCGCCGTACTTTTTAATAAGCTTAATTTAAAATAGACAACGAAAAAATACAGGTTTTAGGGTGCATTTTTTTAGCATCTTTTTAGGTTAAGGTCAATTTTATGGTAGATTTATGATAAACGAGAATAAGTAGATTTTAGGGAGTTAAATAAAAACTTTAAATTTCATTTTAATCCGATTTCATTATGATCCAGACACTTATTGAAAGAAACTTTTTACATCAATATTGCAATTTTTACTATAATTTTAGAGAACCTTTAACAAAAGCATAATTGCATGGATACAACATTATCGATGGTTTACGGCAGGCGGTATGGCGGAATGTTTTTAATATTTTCGCCGTTTCACTCCAAAGTGGCGTATGGCGTAATTATTTTCGTCTGTCGAAATCATATTCGCCCAGCAAAATTCTAGTTTTAATTTTACTTGCAGATTTTTTTTTTTTTTTAAGCGGGTCACGGTCAGTTTTTTTTTAGATAATACGTACGTATACAGTATAATTAAAGATCGATTTTATTGGCAATAATTTTAAAATATAAACCAGGATATCCAGTTTTATTTTCGTCATCCAAAAATAATTTCACCATATATATACTATAATATATTTTTGTATTTTTGCCATCAATATTATTAGCGATAGCGATAGAGATTTAATCAGTTTATCAAAGTTGAATTTTTGCTAGCGTTAGTAATGCTAATTTAGTATGAAATGATAGAGAATGTTCGGCGCAGGATAAAAACGTGACTTTTTGACTAAAACTATTGATCCCCACCGGGAAAATTGGCCCGTAATTCCGTAATTGTGAACAATCTAAGGAATAATTACCTAATTTGAGTTACACGAAATGATTCGAAATCAGGAATTTATAAGCAGCAATTCTTTTGAATAACGAAATTTTAGAAAATATGGAACTTGCGCAAGTTTTGAAATCCGCTGTGGATGGAAATTCACAAGCACAATTCGTAGCTGGATATTACTATAAAGAAGGTATACATATTTCTAAGGATGAAAAGAAAGCATTTGTATGGTATTTAAAATCTGCTAAAGGTGGAAATTCCGTTGGACAACTCAAGGTTGGATTGTACTATAATGAAGGCATAGGTGTTTCTAAAGATGAAAAGAAAGCATTTGAATGGTATTTAAAATCCACTGAAGGTGGGGATATTGTTGGACGATTTTATGTTGGAATGTGCTATGATAAAGGCATAGGCATTTCTAAAGATGATAAGAAAGCATTTGAATGGTATTTAAAATCCGCTGAGGGTGGAAATTCTGGCGGACAAATTAATGTTGGAAATTGCTATCGATATGGTGTTGGTGTTTCTAAAGATGAAAAGAAAGCATTTGAATGGTATTTAAGATCTGCTGAAAATGGTGATTCTGATGGACAATATGGTGTTGGATACTGCTATAATGAAGGAATAGGTGTTCCTAAAGACGGGAAGAAGGCATTTGAATGGTATTTAAAATCTGCCGAAAGCGGAAATTCTAGTGGACAGGCTGCCATTGGACATTGCTATGACAAAGGAGTAGGCATTTCTAAAGATAAAAAAAGGGCATTTGAGTGGTATTTAAAATCTACCGAAGGAGGAAATACTGATGGACAATTAAATGTTGGAAATTTTTATCTAAATGGCATATACGTCTCTAGAGATGAAAAGAAAGCATTTGAATGGTATTTAAAATCTGCCAGAGGCGGAAATTCTAGAGGACTATTAAATGTTGGACATTGTTAGATCTGGCATGGGCATTTCTAAAGATGAAAAGAAGTCATTTGAATGGTATTTAAAGTCTGCTGAAGGTGGAGAATCCGAAGGACAATTCAGTATTGGATTTTGTTACAGTGAAGGTATAGGCATTTTTAAAGATAAAAAGAAGGCATTTGAATGGTATTTAAAATCTGCTGAAGGTGGAAATTCTAAAGGACAATTGAATGTAGGATGTTTCTATGATGAAGTAATAAGCATTTCTAAAGATGAAAAGGAGGCATTTGAATGGTATTTAAAATCTGCTAAAGGTGGAAGTCCTAGTGGGCAATTTTTGGTTGGAGAATGCTATTATAAAGGCAGAGGAATTTTTAAAGATGAAAAGAAAGCATTTAAATGGTATTTAAAATCTGCTGAAAGCGGACTTTCTAGTGGACAATTTATTGTTGGACACTGTTATCAAAATGGCATAGGCATTTCTAAAGATGAAAAGGAGGCATTTGAATGGTTTTTAAAATCTGCTGAAGGTGGAAATTCTAATGGACAATTTAATGTGGGACACTGTTATGAAAATGGAATAGGCGTTTCTAAAGATGAGAAGAAGGCATTTGAATGGTATTTAAAATCTGCAAAGTGCGGAAATTATAATATACAATATAACATTGGATTTCGTTATCTAAATGGCATAGGCACTTCTAAAGATGAAAAGAAAGCATTTAAATGGTATTTAAAATCTGCTGAAGGTGGAGATTCCAGGGGACAGTTAAATATTGGAAATTGTTATAAAAATGGAATAGGCATTTCTAAAGATGAAAAAAAGGCATTTGAATGGTATTTAAAATTGCTGAAGGCGGAGAATCAGAAGGACAATTTATTGTTGGATACAGTTATAACGAAGGCATAGGTATTTCTAAAGACGAAAAGAAAGCATTTGAATGGTATTTAAAGTCTGCTGAAAGTGGAAATTCTAGTGGACAATTGATTATTGGTAATTGTTATCGAAATGGCAGAGGCATTTCTAAAGATAAAAGGAAAGCATTTGAATGGTATTTAAAATCTGCAGAGGGCGGAAACTCTAGTGGGCAATTAAATGTTGGAGCTTGTTACCTAAATGGCGTAGGTATTTCTAACGATGAAAAGAAAGCATTTGAATGGTATTTAAAATCTGCTGAAGGTGGAGATTTCAATGGACAATTAAATGTTGGAACTTGTTATCAAAATGGCATAGGTATCTTTAAAGATGAAAGAAAAGCATTTGAATGGTATTTAAAATCTGCTGAAGGTGGAAATTCCATTGGGCAATTCAGCGTTGGAACTTGCTATGATGAAGGTATAGGCATTTCTAAAGATGAAGGAAAGCATTTGGATGGTATTTAAAATCTGCTGAAGGTGGAGATTCCAATGGACAATTCAGTGTTGGAACATGCTATAATAAAGGTATAGGTATTTCTAAAGATGAAAAGAAGGCATTTGAATGGTTTTTAAAGTCAGCTAGAGGTGGACATTCTAGAGGACAATTTATTGTTGGATGCTTCTATATTGAAGGCATAGGCATTTGTAAAGATGAAAGGAAGGCATTCGAATGGTGTTTGAAATCTGCTAAAGGTTGGGAATCAGAAGGACAATTTATTGTTGGGCACTGTTATAATGAAGGCATAGGTATTTCTAAAGACGAAAAGAAAGCATTTGAATGGTATTTAAGTTCTGCCAAAGGTGGAAATATTAGTGGACAATTAATTATTGGAAATTGTTATCAAAATGGCGTAGGCATTTCTAAAGATGAAAAGAAAGCATTTGAATGGTATTTAAAATCTGCAGAGGGCGGAAACTCTAATGTGCAATTAATTGTTGGAAATTGCTATCTAATTGGTATTGGCATTTCTAAAGATGAAAGAAGGCATTTGAATGGTATTTAAAATCTGCAGAAAATGGAGATTCTGGTGGACAGTTAAATCTTGGAATTTGTTATCAGAATGGCGTGGGAATTTCTAAAGATGAAAAGAAGGCAATTGAATGTTATTTAAAATCCGCTGAAGGCGGAGATTCTAGTGGACAATTAAATGTTGGATTATGCTATTATGAAGGTATAGACATTTCTAAAGATGAAAAGAAGGCATTTGAATGGTTATTAAAATCTGCTAAAGCGTAAATTCTAGTGAACAATTCAATATAGGATTATGCTATTATAGAGGTATAGGCATTTCTAAAGAGAAAAGAAGGCATTTGAATGGCTTTTAAAATCTGCTGAAGGTGGATAATCCGAAGGACAATTCAATGTTGGACTCTGTTATTAAAATGGAATAGGCGTTTCTAAAGATGAGAAGAAGGCATTTGAATGGTATTTAAAATCTGCAAAGTGCGGAAATTGTAGTGGACAATATTATATTGGATTTTGTATCTAAATGGTATAGGCATTTCTAAAGATGAAAAAGAGGCATTTGAATGGTTTTTAAAATCTGCTGAAGGTGGAAATTCCAATGGGCAATCAAATGTTGGATACTGTTATCAAAAAGGCAAAGGTGTTTCTAAAGACGAAAAGAAGGCATTTGAGCTTTTAAAATCTGCCGAGGGCGGGAATTTTTACGGACAATTCAATGTTGGAATTTGTTATCAAAATGGCATAGGCATTTGAATGGTATTTAAAATGTGCTGAAGGTGGAATTTCTGTTGGACAATCGAAAGTTGGGTATTGCTATGAAAGTGGCACAGGCATTTCTAAAGATGAAAAAAAGGCATTTGAATGGTATTTAAAATCTGCTGAAGGCGGAAATTCTAGAGGACAAATCAATATAGGATCATGCTATTATAAAGGCATAGGCGTTTCTAAAAACGTAAAGATTGCGTTTGAATGGTATTTAAAATCTGCTGAAGGCGGGAATCCAGAGGGACAAATAGAAGTTGAACTATGCTATCGAAATGGTATTGGAATACCTCAAAATCAAGAAAA